TCCCGAAGAACGGCTTTAGATAGAAAATTCAAACTTTGAGGCTAGGTAGAGCTATGTTTGGAGAGGTGCATCAGGTATATCAAATTTACTGGAAATGACGCACGTCGGCGCTCGCTATGACCCCAAAATAGACCTATCACTAATTTCAAAATTTCTCACATCTTTTCTTCGATATCTTTTTACCTAAAAATATTTTGTGAAAACATGAGGAACAAAAAGAGGTGTAGAATTGCAAGATCTTTAAAATGATATCTCGGAAAAAGGGCTAGCCCCTAAAATTAAGGGCCTAGAGGGGCCGACAGTTTTTCCTTTATATCTCAAAAAGTATTGAGAATTGAAATACGTCAAAGAAGCAAAGTTATTCAAAAATGTCAAGCTTTATCTAATGGGGTCAGGAAAATACGTCCGGCAACGTCACTTCCGGTCAAACCAAAAGTAGACTAAAATTGCATATTTTTGCTGGTCTTGACAGGTTTTTGGATATCATATGTCACTGGAAGCTTAAATTTTAATTTTCCGTCCGTCGACGGTACTTCCGGTCAAACCGAAAGTTGCCAAAAATGGCTTACAGTACCGACCGGACACAACCTAACACCAGAGCGAACCCGGAGCGGACCCAGGTTTTGCTTCCCGGGTTCGCTCGGGGTCCGCTTCGGGTTCGCTTTCAGAAATTTTGGGACCGCTCCGGGTGCGCTCCAGGTTCGCTCCGCGTTCGTTCGAGGTCAGCTCTTGGTCCACTGGAGCGAACCCAGCTTTCGCTTCCTGGGACCGCTTTACGCACTGATGCGTGAAGCGGACCACGCTTTAATCTCACCGCCAGTAAGCCCCGCCCCTTGTATATTCCAATACAGTAATGGTATTGTGGATCGATCATTGTTGTTTATGCGACGATGTACACTGTACATGTTAACAGTGATGTAATAGACATAATTGATAATTTTTCTAAAATTTTAATGTACCTTCGACGTAGATTTAGATGTACGTAATTAATTGATCTCCTTGATTTCTCGATCCCGAGAAATTCAAACTAATTTAACAGCGGGTTATAAGGCATTTATTTTTCTTAAGTTAAAACGCGAAAACAAAAACGAAGAGGAAGAAAAGAGTGTTGAATTGATTTTCATTGTATCGAATGGTGAACAAGTGAAACTGACGAAAGAAATCCAAACTAAATACCTTTTAAATTCATTCTTAATATAGTTTAAAAATACATTTTATTATTTCTTACGTTTTGCTAAATCAAAGTTTAAATGATTGCTAAACACGTGAATTATGATATCTCACTTATAAATTTCATGTAACCTTTTGTACATCTGTTATATTTAGATTTCATTTATAGTACAATGTAGTTACACATTAAAAGTTCGTAATAAATATTTACCGGACAGTTTCTTTAACTGTACGTTAAATCTTTTTCAGGGTCAGAATTTTGAAGCGAGTATGATTTTTATCAGAATAAAGAGAAAGGCAAATAATAATCCCGACTCGATAAGAATACATTAATGTATGCCCCCTATTTCACACACACATCTCTTTAAAAAATTCTGATTATTTAACTATTTTAACATTTAATTTTTTATTTCTCAAAATACGTGTTACATTAAGTTATTCAAAATTTAAATCAAAATTAATGATCTTCTTCATCTACTCCATATTCTTGGGCATGAAAAAAAATGCGTGTATATGAAATTAAACCTTCCATCTGGATGCACAGATTGAAGTCATTCTAATGGTAATGGAGTTTCATGAAGAGACTTACTTTTACAATTGATGACTGACTTTTACAATTTCAACATAGACAAACTCCAATCACTAAAATGTAAAAGTCAGCTGTCAAATGTATAAGTAAGTCTCTTCATAAAACTCCATTAACAAACTGAATGACTTCACCAGAATGAAAGTGAATTAGACCCAATTCCCGATGATACTTAACAAGATTATTCTTTCAATTTAGTGTAACTCTACATGTAGAGTTACAGTTAGTTTGCGTTACCAACTCTCGAACAACCCACATAACGATGTATTGCTTACGCCTTTATTATTTTTTTTTACAATAATTAGTCCTTAAACATTTCAAAATTTATAAAAGAACATGATTCATATGTTAAAATATTCCTTCTATATTATAACCCTCTGATTATTCTTTGTCAAGTGTAGTTTCGCAATTTTAAGAGAATGAAATAATGTACGATTTACTAAATGTTGTGATTAATTAGCATAATTAATTCGTTCAATTATGTAAATCACACTTCACCTGGGTATACCCCAGACATATTTCATAGCGGTCTGGATTTCTTTCTTTAATAGTGTTTATATAAATTTCCAGTTCAACATGTAACTATGAAAATATATAGTGTTTAGTAGTTTAGAAGTGTTAGTTGTTTTTGGTTTCTCTTTTTCCTTTGTTCTTATGACTAAAACTTTTTTCTTTGTTCCGAGGAAGGGACAGAGCGTCCCGAAAACTGTTAGCCATTTTTTAGTGCTTTATATACATCTTCCTGTACATGTACATTTTTTGGAAAAAAAATAGCTGCAGCAGGCTTATAGAAAACAATTTGAGTACAGTATTAGGAGGACGACCCATAGAAATCTGAGTAAAGGTCAACAGGCTTTATCATTAAAATCAAGTCTAATGATGAGAATTTACAGTTATGATCTCTCTCTCTCTCTCTCTCTCTCTCTCTCTCTCTCTCTCCTCTTGATGTTTCCTTGATGTATCCTGTATCTATTTATATCTAAATACATGTATTGGGCACTATAATATTCCTGAACTGTTAGTATCTTGAGATGATGAAATTTTACAATAATTGTCGAAGACCAACTACATGTATATTTCTTTTCTCCTCTTTCTGTCAGTAAAAATTGTAATACAATGTATCAATTTATTTCCATTTTTATGCATTGAATGATGTATTAACCCAATTTATTTTCCAAATAGACTTTAAATACTTTAAAAAAACTAAAGAAAATAAAACGTAAATATTCATGTATAATTCTACGTGGGAAATTAAAACATATAATCAATTAATTGCTTTAATAAAAAAGAGAAAATAAAATTATAAATATAAAATACAACCCAGAGAATTAAAATAAATAAATATCAAATAATATTTTAATTATCATAATAGATTTTCACAACAAATTCACACGTTTGGCTTGTATGTACAGTGTTTGGATTCATATTGAATTAAATCAACACGTTTGATCTTATATCCGAATCGACAGATCAATATGCTATTTTGATTGGTTGATGCGCTGATTGGTTAATCGCTTATCCTGATTGACAGCTCTGTAAAGAACTACCGAACCCGCGTTCGCTCATTGGGACCGCTACTGAATTTGGGGTTCGCTCTCTGGGTCCGCTTCGGGTTCGCTCGGGGTCCGCTACGGGTTCGCTTTGGGTCCGCTCGGGGACAGCCCTAGCGGACCCCAAGCGAACCCGGAGCGGACCCAGAGAGCGAACCCGGGGTCTGCTCCGGGTTCGCTTTCTGTTAGGTTGTGTCCGGTCGGTACTGTAATTTTGCAATAATTAACATAGATTTGGAGGATTAAACCATTTTGGGACTTCAATACTCTTTTTTCTTTTTAAGTGAAAGTTACTTCCGGTACAACAGGGCGAAAGACCTACTCGTTGCTTTGAAACGAGCTCGGCTCTAGTTTTTTTTTTTTAAATAATTTGTCTCAGTATATGATATGTCGTAATATTGAAAGCTTTACTTTTAAAACTGATTGTTTTTCTTGCCTTATTCTTGGTATTTTAAGTGGCAAAAATGTCATTTTAAAAAATGCACAATGTCTATTGAATTTTTATGGCTACAATAACAGAAGTTCTCTTTTTCTGTTTTATTTTAACTACTTTGCAATTTTGTGGCCTTCCTTTTAAATATTTGAATCCTGTTTATGGAAAGATACTTTGTGGGAATTTAATTTTTATAATGAATCAGTTATTCTAGAGAAGTCTAAAATGTTAAAATTTTACAGACGGTCAGAGAGACGGACAGACAGACTACAGTCAAAATATTATCAGAAAATTCAGTTAAGATTTTAGCTCAGCTGAACTAAAATCTGAATCAAAATCTAAAACATTTCAACCTGGAGGCAAGCGTATCATTTTTGCCCTTTAAAGACTAACATATTAACAATTCAAATCAAAGGATCAACCCGCTCATGAGACTTTAATTCATATTTAAATATTTTTTCATACATATGATCATAAATTTAGAATTAAATTTAAAAAATGCACAGGATGTCTTACTCTTTGTATGTGTAAAATATTCATTTAGAAATTCAAAAAATGAATTTCCCCTACATTCTGAAATAGTATTTAATACCGTGCATAAATATACTGAAAGGGTTAAGAAACGCATAAGAGCATAACATGGGAAAAATTTTGACTATGTGGCCAAAAAATATGAAAATTGGTCAGATGTGTATTTTGGTTACTTTGCACTAAAATCGCTGGTTAAAACTACTCAACCATGAAATGTATGGCGTCACGTAGAGGAAATGTTAAAGGTGAAAAACACCTGCATGTTGATGATGATAATTTTGTGATAAAATTTTGTAGTGCCATACGATGCATTAGAGTTATTGAAATCGTTTTTGCATATTTGCAGTCAGTATAAATTTCTTGCAATCGTTGTTTGGCTGACGGAATCCACTTTGGGTTTAGTAATTGAATTCAATATTGCATAAGTGAATAAAAAGGCAAAATCATGCTGCTGTACAGATTGTTTTCAACTTTTCAACCAAATAAAAGTTTTTTTTTTGGTTGTCAGAGAGTTAACTTAAAATGTTTCCAACCAGCCATGATGGCGACGTTGGCGCGTAACAACGTCACAACAAGATAAGACTTTTCATCATGCCACCTCGGTTATTGCAACTTACTACTTATGTTAACCTTAGCATATTATAAGAGTCGCTGGGTTTTCTAAAACACATAAATTTTGTAGATTAGACATAATCCGCAAAAGATAGGATTCATTTCTTTGTAATATTACCTCTGTTTGTCCATCCCGTGTAAACAGAGCCTTCCTGACAACACACTTCTTCTCCAACCTTATCATCAAACTTCTTCTCCATATTCATTACCAGAATAAAGAACGCCCGCGGACTCATCTGGTGTGAGGCATAATATGAACACTGTCCTGCAAAATCTGTCATTGTGATTTTTTTCTCTGGATCTTCTGAAATGTTTTTTGTCTCTATCTGTAAATTTCCAGAAATTTCTGAACTATATGGAATATCTTTTCTTTCCGTCATAACATCCTGTTGTGTTGAAGTGGACTCTTGTCGATCGTAGGATGAGGTAGATGTGAATTTGGTCTCTACATATATATTTTCACTCTTTGATACTTCAATCGTACTGTAATCATTTAATTTTTCTATACTTTCTTGCGTTTCCCAATCATCAGTTGTATTCATTGAGTGATGTTCAGGTACACTCTTTTTTAAACCTTCTTTATCACCTCTAAGTTTAAAGCGCTGTTTTTGGCTTGAATAATTAACTGCAAATTAAAATAAATGCCTTAATACCATCTCTATTGGTTTTGCAAAAGCCTTATGATAATATACTTCCATAACCGAAATGAATTCACAATTAAAAAATATATATAAAAATTTTCACTTTTCAAAAAAAAAAATAAATGTATTTGATTCTTTTCCTAAGGTTTTAATTGGTAAGCATGTTTTGCTGGGAATATCAACAATACAAATATTAATAAAAACAATTAAAAGGGGCACGAATTCAACAACGCTAGACTGATTGGTTGAACGCTCTAACCGTAAGGCTATCGCTGCTTCTTATAAAATGAGAAATTTTTTTGGGGGGGGAGGGGGTATATTTTCTGGTGATTTATAGAAATATTTTTTTCTCTTTTTGCAGAAAATTATTTTCTTGATTTATGGGTAATATTGTACATGTATATATATATATATATATATATATATATATATATATATATATATATATATATATATATATATATATATATATATATATATATATATATATATGTATATATGTATTTGGTTTTCCAAAAAGTATACTATAAATTAGCTAGATCTATTTTTGTAACAGAAGTTTAGCAGATGTGATCCAATACCTTGGATGGTGTCTGTAACATCAAATATATCTTTGTTGATATCAACTCCTCTAGTTGACCTGATATTGTTCTTTATTTTCTCTAAGTCAATGCCCTTCAGTCTCTCTAACAATGTTGTTTTACCACTACCAGCACACCCTATTATCATCCCAGAGGCATGGTACATGGTTGTGTTCCCTTTCTTTAAATTTTCAATGAAATTCGTCACTGGTTTGTCTCCCCTTATTATTTTTTGAATTGGTATGCCGACTTAAAAGATAAAAATATTAATATTAAATTGTCTCTTAGTCATTATCATGAATTCTTGATTGAAAGGCCACAATAGCATTTATGTCTATAGAAACATTCAATTTATAAATTTCATTACAATTTTTATATGTTTTGTTTTGTTTTTTCTTTTTTGTATTTTGTTGTTGTTGTTATCTTTGCTCTTAATCTTAAAGTAGAGTTATCCAAGGAAATCGTGTTTTATCCTATTCTGTAGCTTAAATAAAGGTATAAATTAATGTAAGAGCTGTTACTTTTTCCATCTACTTTAAGAATAATAGACTGATAGTTTATGCATTTACCTGCATATATTTACATTCAGTGTAATTTTAATTATGAAATCCATTAGAAATCCACGACGTTCAAATTTCTATAAAACACGCGATACCTTGTCACCGCGTGTCAGAATATTCAGAAGGAACTATAAGCATTTTCAATACTCTAGAGACACCAAAATGTAAAATGTTTTATTTAAATTTAATAAAAAAACTATAACCCTGAAAAACATGCGTAAAAATTATCGTTATGTGCTTTAAGAATTGATTTGTCACTTTTTTCCTCGCAATGATTGTGTGCGTTATTTAACTTTGCAACGTCATTTAGCGTCATTTGACGTCACAAATGGCTCTTACATCTATTAACAACAACAGTTTTGAAGGGCACTATTCACATTTAAAATGAACGAAATAAGCAAATATAAAGAAGGAAAATTAGATAACGTAAATATTAGCATTGAATTAACGCGCGGTATTCAATTTGTCGGCACGGCCAGGTGTGTTATAGGACCGAAGACATCCAAAAATATGAATTCAATGCTTAAATGAAAAATGGAATTTATGAATACTATAAGACAGCAATAGAATTTGACAATCAAATACATTTCTTTCTAAAACCCTCACATGAATAATCATTTTGAAATTATTTGACATAACTATTTTCCACTTAATTTACACATACACACTGTATTTTCAACAATCCTCCAACAGAGACTTCATTCTTTCTGTACTGCAGTTATCACTGATCCGTTGTTAAATATCGATGCAGTGGTATTTTAATATTATATACATGTACATATATGTTTGTGTGGTACCTGAATATCAAACGTTTTCAATGTACAATTATGAGCTTACATTTATAACTTGGCCAGATTTCCAAGGAGTATATGTGCAAATTATTTGTAATATTCTCGAATCAGGGAGACTCAACTAGATTGCAAGAGAACATTTATTCATGTAGTATAATTGGTTTGAAAAATTAAATATCAAAAATATTGTTTCTTAATTGATAGGGAGTAAATTGGTATGACAAAACTCTAGCATGTTTAGGTCCTACTTAACAAAATACATCCTCAAATGTTGTTTACAAGACTAAATATTATTCCCAAGAATTTCTTTTCTGGAGATGCCCACATTCAAGTTTGCATTTCACGTTAAATGCTTCTTAAGATAATTTACCAATCCACATTTTTTTTTGGTATCAAGATCTGCATTTTCTTTCATATTTTTAAGTATATAAATCTCTTACGTTTTTCGTTATCTGTCGAAAGCATGAATCTTTCTTTGCCAACTGCATTCTCCGTTGCAACTACGAGCTGATAAAAACCTTCGTCATATCTTGAGAAGTCTTGTATCTGTATTGAGAGCTTCGTCCCTTTTCTTTTTATTACTATCTTATTCGGAGTATCTTTCAAAATGTTGAATCGTCTATGTAGCCCCGTACTCTTTAGCCACATGACGTAAGAAATGTCAACATCAACACTGGCCTCGACTTTCACGTTTCTGCCGTATTCAACATCATTTACCTTGAGTGATATGAGAGGAATATCTATCAAAGTAAATAAATAAAATTTTATAAATCCAGTACATATATAGGAAGGACATATAATACTTTAGAAAAAATATACCAAACAAGATGATTTTTATGAGGAAAAGCAAAATGGTTAAAAATTGCATATATGATTTCCTATTTCTTTTTTTACCATTTTTGCTTTTCCTCATCAAATTCACATGGCATGGTATATTTTTCTTAAGGTTATAGTACACTTTCAGCACCAAGCTAACATATTCTGTAAATTGTTTTCATCTGTAAATCTCTACTGAGTGTGATTTGTCCTCATTTCTTAATTTATTCAAGATTTAACTTATATTTCCCAAATCTGTATCATTGTACAAGTCTTAAGGAGACAAACTCAAAGAATTATCAATTCTCAACATGTGACGTGATATTACACTTGTAAGTCTCCTCCAAAGAAAAAATGATCTTTGTATCATCTGTTCTTAATATAAATTTCCTTTTTAAACAACTTCCATAACATAAAAATTAGGATTCCAAATAAAATCTAACTATTTTAATATTTACAGACATTTCCCTATTTAAAATCGGAATAAAACATTGGAGTCAATACTATTTGTTGCGTTAGAAAGCATGTATTATGAAATTTTTGCACTGTATGGGTGTCGTTAATATTACTCACTTTCTAAGTTTCCCATGTAATAAAATATAAGACTAAATGCAATCTCAATTCACCTTAAATTAAATATTGTGACAAATATTATCGAATTACTTCGCATCAGCTTTTACAAATATCAAAAAGAATATTTTATTTATATTGTAAATGTATATTAAGAAAGAAAATAAATAAATTCATATTAAATAGCGAGATATCTTTTTTTTGTGCCAACACCTATTGCGACACCAGACCTTGGCTAATACAGTCTCATCCAACAGACTGTTGTCAACCCCCCGCAGCGGGAATTGAACCCGAAAAAGAATTAAAGAGAAAGAGATGTCTACCTTTCAGTTTTTCCAAGGTATTTTTATCTTCTTCACCTGTCCAGAGGAAGAACATATCTCTTCTTATATTCTCATGTTCACCTCTAAGCGACAAATATATCTGCAATGAAATTTTAAGATTGCAAAATTCAAGAATTCCGAAAATTTATCTCTTTAATACGAGACTTTCTGATTCAAGAAGGCATTAAAACAAATATGTCCGAACTGAACCTCGGTTGAGGGAGGTGGTAATATTCTTAACGAATTTAAATCTGTACTATTAGAGGCTGTTTGCACATTATTATTTTACATTTTCAACCCTTTTCTTAAATTGCAAAAGTTTTTAGCCTATCATTTGAGTTAACTTTAGTTGTTTATGTATGGACATATAAGGGCTAAGTCTGATTTACAGTAACATATAGGGAAATGATGAAAATATTCAATAAAATACAACGATCGAATTCCGGACCCTGTGATTGTCAAATCTAATTCTTTTCTTTACAAAGCAAGATTGTACTGTAATATACATTATGTCTAAGTAGTGGTCAGAGTTTGAAATATGGTGCACGAGCAAGAACTGAATGTTTAATGAAAACATAAAACTATTTTGATAACTGCATATGTGAATTAATCTGTAGGACGACAGGGAATGACAATCTTGGGTTCTTGAGTACGATCCCCAGAAGTGGGTGACGTTGGTATTGATGTTCATTTAAACAAAGATGAAATCATGCACTTATTGATTGTAAATCTTCAACATAAAATATAAAATTCGTCTTTGAAAAGAAAATAGCAAAAATCAAGAATATTCGTTTTATAGTATCTAATCTAAAATCTGTTAAGTCTAGTTTTCTATTTTTGGATACTATCTGCTGATGCAATTTTCAGCATTGAAATGTGTAATGCTGGTTCTAAAATATCAAAATAGTTCTAGGAATTCTATCATTATATTGTGACAAATAAAGTCAATATATTCTAAAAGTCTGGGAAAAAATTAAGGCAATTTTATCATAAACTAAATAGCTTTTAAATTTAGATAATCATCATAGAACCTCACATTTGATTTTCTTTTCTGAATATATCAGATATATTTGCTCAATCTGCATACATTCTGCATAAATTCAGCAAAAGGGTTTAGACTTTCAAAATAATTTCTTGCTTGTTTGATTTTAAAAGCCCGAAAAAATGACATTTTATGAGTGCAGAAAGGTTAAATAAAATGCGAATCACTTCGATTTTTTTTCTTTGTCACAATTTCAATGTTTCTTTTGTTAAGAGAAAATTAATAGCGTACTTTGTCGCATGATTTATTTAGAGGGGAAATGTCGGAGATGTTATTTTTGAAAAAGACTAGCTGCAGATCTGTAGCGTAATGTTTTTACATTATATGTATTTGTCTTTGACCATAAAGCTACAGATCCCATGATGCAAAAAAGCAATTGCAATGACCAATTAACTACCTTTCACTCCCTAATCATAGACACATTCTGTAGCAAATATGTATACTTTATCCTCCTTCAAATTATTTATAGTTACAGACCATGAACTTGCTTGAAATGAATTTTCTAGGGGTGAAACGATACGCCTCCTTCACGGTTCTATACGTATCGAAAAATTTGGTCTCGGTTCGGTTATTTTCGATACGATACATTTTGATAGAAGGAAACAGGTTCAATGCTGTTTTATGCTACCTTTCACTTAATCTAGTAAAATAATTTATGTGCAAAATAGATACAATGTATCAGTTTAATTGATTTGACTGTAAAAAATTATTTTACAAACTTTAAGTCCACACAAACTTACGTTTCTGAACTAATTATCCAGAAAAGCATGTTTATACCTTATGCCAAACCCGACTGAATGACGATCCCGACCGAAAAACGAACCGAACCGAATGTAGAGATTTTGTACCGTGTATCCAACCGAGAAAAAATACCGCGGTGAACCGATACCGCAGTGAACCGTTTCACTCCTAGAATTTTCTGCAATCTAACATATAAATTTAATCAAGCGAGTTCATCACTTGTACAGATGACTATAAATGGTAGGCAGATGGATAAAATATACAGATTAGTTGAATAATGTGACGAGTATTAGGGAGTGAAAGGAAGTTTTTATATACCGATGCTGAAAAGAAGTAAATTCTCCCTAAAAGTGCGCAAAAATATTGCGCCGTAAATTGCAACTTTTTTGCATTACGGGATCTGTAGCGTTATGGTCTAAACGAATATATAAAACCATAACGCTGCAGATCCTGAAGCTAGAAAAAGACATACATTTCAGTGCAAAAAGGTCATTTGAAATGTACTGAGGCGCCAAAAGAAGAATATTAACCTTTTCTGTTTTAATTGTAAATAAATCTACATAAAATAGCGTTAAATTTTGATTTATTTAGGCTACATATGTATCAGCAATAGTTCACAGTTATTGAATTAGTATGAGAGAAATGAGAGAACTTTTGGTTCCCCAAGAGAGGGAAAAAGTTCACTAACAAGAAAACTATAAATTTGCTATTTCCTGAATACCCATTCAATTTGTTATACCAAAAAAACAATCAAAGGCAATTTATTAAACCGGATATGCATTTTTAACAATTTTTTAAATAAATAAGATATTGAGGCATTCGAGTATTAACGAACGCACGTGGTTCCAAAGATAGTACATGTAAGATAACTTATGCATTATTATCTATGACAAAATTATTTCTAAAATAAAAAAAAATTACTGATATTTCGTAGTAGTTTGCTAGAAATCAAACATGATTTTTGACATTGCATGGCGAAATCCTTAGACTTCATAGTTACATTGCTACGTCACAGACGCGAGAGTTCTTGCCCATTGTTCATTTCCATTGCTTAAAAATGTAATTAAGTATCCATGAGGGAAGAGTCCCCAGGAGTAGTCCTCAGATGAGAGAAATATTCTCTTCTTGGGGATGTAGGCAGTTTTATGGTGTTAAATTTGTATAGAGTAATGCCAGTAGAGGTATAAAAGAAACAAAACGTTAATATAACGGACTTTATATATAATATAGTCGTTGTAGCCTCCAATGTGTTATGCATTAATACAAATGTAGACTGACAACATAAAATATTCTAACCATATTTCAAATGGTATGTCATGTTAAATATTTATCATACACCTTCATAAAATGGTTGACATTTGCAAATTAGTATGTTGAGCAGATGTCGGAGATATCAATGGATAAACGCATGAAAATTTTTATGCATTCTTAAAATTGACAAATATAATATCTCAGTATTTGATTGTACATTTTCAGTATGCAAAAAATGACGTAATAATCACATTTGTTCACACATAGCACGGAGTTTCCCGTATGCGACAACGCTATGGTAATGATGGAGTTAAGGTGTTTGACCTCTCGATATGCTATAAAAACTGTTTGAAAACCGTGCAAAAATAGTTTGGTGTTGATTTTATACAGATTATCGAACAGGATGGACAATAATACTGAACATGTTTTAATTTTAATTTATACTTGTTTTTTAATTGAAATATTCGTACCTTTTTTAGATCCTCTGCTATATGCTCAGTTTCTTTTTCAAGTTGTGTAAGTTGCAGTTTTGAATAAACATCTTCCTGTATCTTCCTCAGTCTTTGTCCAACTTCAATTAATCTATCAAGTCTCTTCATGTCAGCTTCAATATTGTTTTCGGACACGGCTGGTAAGATTTCCCATTGTGGTGAGCAATTATACGGCATCTGGTTTTTCAGCATATTTATGAAGAAAGTTCCAAAACCTATAAGCAAAACACATGCATAAATTCAATTAATCATTTAACAATCATTGAACGAAAAGTTTTTCCTTGTAATATCTACAGAAATTGTATCAAATTTATATATGCACTAGGAATGAATGTTTATTTTTCAATAAATTTGACAAATTTAGGACATGTTTTTGGAAACATGTTATTTTTTTCCCTTTCCCATTCATTTTAAGTCCCTACTCCCATCCCCTTCTGCCATAAACATGTAGCATTATAACATTGGGAAAAGTACTGGAGGCGGAATATATTATATATTTGCCCCCACAAAAGTCATTCATATAAACACTCGGTGCTTTGAAGTCCGCAGATATCCCCCTCCCCTGTTTAAAACATAATTATATTAATTTCCGTAAAATGTTTGATTTTGGTGGCAAATATTGGTCATTACCGAATAAAGTCTTTGTTAAATATGTAGGTCGTAACCTTGGTGCTAATGAAAAATTCAAGCTTGGCAAATATATTCTAATGATAACCCCATATGTGTCTTCAACGTAGTTTTTGAGACAAATAATTGTTTTAACAAACGTTTTGTTAATGCTTTTACATTGTACATGTATATCGACATGGCAAATTCCTAACTCTTCTGTTGTTGTTGTTTTTCTATTATATACATAACTATCCCGACACAATCATTAGACCCATTTTAAATATTAGGGAAAAAAGACTTTTCTTAGAGAATTAAAACTTATACGGTTGTGTGTGTGCGACAAAAATACCTTCGTTTGTGCTTTTGTCTGGTTTCAGATGACCGGAAAATTTATATAAAACTTCCATATACACACGACAACATCGAGTTATCAACTGTGTTTCTGATGATCTTGTGCTGTCCACTGCAGATTTCTGAAATAGTTACATAAAAACAATTTCAACAGGAGGCCATCGGAATTATAGGTCACCTAAGTATCATGCAGCAACTTACCAACATTTGAATTTGGTTCGTGTTTTCAACAAGAGACCATGAAATTCACAATTTTGAATATTGATACAACTGCTCATCATATCTATAAACTTAGCATGTTTATTGTGATAACATAATACCCTAAGGCATATCAAAATACCAAAGAAAAATGAAGCTCAACTAAATAACAAACTACAGATTGACTCTGAAATCATTGATTCATTTCCATGATATGGTCATTAGAGCCCATCTTATCTTTTTCCCTGATTCAAGGGACATGAAACTCATCATTTGAATAAGACCCCTTTTCTCATTATAACTTTTGACTTATTTCATCTACATGATTCACAGGACCAGAGGAGAAGTTTTTCAAGGTATTAGTGTATTTTCACTACAGAACTAGTATAAGGAGGTTATGGAGATATCAAACAGTATTCAATCTCAAAGTCCATAAAACAATATAAAAAAGGAGCAGAACAAACATGGACCCCCGAAACACCAGAGATATGATCAGGTGCCATGGAGGAGTGAGCATCCCCTGCCGACCGGTCACACCGCAATGTGCTCATTGCCATGGTCGTGAAATAACGGAAAAATCGGTCGTCAATTCAGTGTATTAATAATGGACAAACTATTATTATGAAAAACGTCAGTCAGAATTTGACTCTTGAAATGATCAATTGTATTCGCTGACAAGGTCATTGTATCGACCATAGAACTTACAAAATGATGACTTTTAACGAGGCTGCTGATATTCTTGTTTCATCATCATCTAATTAATAATAAAAACGGAACCGCTGATCCAGGGACCTCGATTTAGAAAAAAAGGCAACCTTCCTCAACATAATTATGTATATGGTTTATTGTTTTAATAGGCAGGAGCATAGTTGACAATATTTAAAGAATTAATGCATTTTCACTGTATAATCAATAGTACAAAGCCCTTAAGACCAGGCCTCAGGATCATGAAACAAACTTAGACTCAAGTCAATTTTTACCACCTATTAAATATTTATCTATTATGGAATTTATTCATAAATTTACCAATAACAACAACTCTGTGGAACAATATCTAAAATATTTTCATTTTGGTTTGATTGACTTCTATGGCATTTTATTATGAAATAAAGATTTTGGCTTAAGTTTACGATGTTTTATGATCCTTGGGCCTGAACCCTTTCCGCGTATAATTGAGCCATGAAATTCACAATTTTGAAAGAGACAATCTTGCTCAATATAACTATGTTCATAATGTATCGGCTTAATTCCCAGGAACAGAGGTGAGGAATTTCATAGAATTAATGCATTTTCACAATACATTTTAGCAATTTAAGTCCCGCCCTAACACTATCATCACTGATTCAGGGGCCTTGAAATTCACAATTTTAAAAAAAGGCAATTTTCCTCTCGATATTTTTTTTTTGGCTTAACATCATGGATCAGATTTTTGAAAAAAAAGAATACACTTTCACTAAGCATTTATGAATGGCCCGCCCTAGCACCATAACCTCTGACGCTGTGATTATAAATTCTAGACAATACTCAATATATACTCTCATAATAAGCTCAATACTTTCATTATGATTATAGAAAATTTTCATATGATACATGTACTAAACAACGTTCGACCGAAGACGGTCGACGACAGAGAAAAACGGATAGTTATAGGTCACCCAAATGAATCAATGGACCTAAAAATGCAAAAATGCATGGTTACTTAAGAAATACATTCCGCGTTTTCTTGGACGTTGCAGGATGTCATCCGAGGTCGAGAAATATTGTTTGAAAGATAAAAACCGAGGTGATATAGCCTAGGCTTTTATATTTCAAACAACATTTCTCGACCTCCTTACCATCTTACATCATCCATGACAACAAGGTCTTTTGTTCTACTTTACTAATTTATAAGAGCCCTTAAATAAGGCTGATAGTCTCCATTATAGAAAAACGAATTAGGACACCATGATCCAAATGCGCTGTTCCAATTAACATCAGTTGATCATATTTGTTAGATTACTTGCGAACGGAAGGCCGACGGTTTGAGCTGTCGCTGCATTTTAAAAAAAAACCTTTTATTTATTATAAAATTTGTTTATGTAATAAATTGTTGATTTTTTTCAAAGCACAGTGAGAAAACTAGTTTCCGTTTTGCTTTATCACTATAATAATGGAGTTAAAATATGGTGTAGATAGGTACGCGGATTTGCCCCGCTTAGCTTTAAAAACCTACATTCATTAGCTCCTTTTTGCAATACAAAGTGTTCAGGCTATATAAGATGATCCAAAAAATTGACATTCTATCAGTCTGTAAAATAGGCCCCTATCTATGATAACTTTGAAGTGCCCAGATATGGAACATTGAAAACATTATACTCCTTCGTGTTCATGTTCATCTTCTCCCCTATTACTATTGTCTGACTTGACAATTCATCATTGGTGACGTTAATTTAGTGGAACTGAGGACCTTAAATAAATCATTGTCAGAGGACCAAAATTTAGGGAACTCCCATCTTTCATATGAAGAATGATTTTCATAAATATTACGCATCCCTTCAAAGATGACTCTAGACGAGGGGGTAAGGATTTAAAAGAAGACCTTGATATTTTGAGTGAGTGACTGATTAGTCATATGTTGTTAAATCTCCCATTCAGGGCCATTGATTTCATAAAAGTTTCAGTGCCTCCCGAAACGAAGCTCCCAATGTTTAGGTTCCCCCTCTAAGAATGGAAAGCTTTCGTCATACATGTTTATCTTTTTTTTTTTAGTTTTTTTTTTTTTAGTATTTCCAACAAAGAGATTGATTTTAATTACTATAAATATATTTCATATAGGGATATCAACGCTGTATTTTAAAGTCAGCCATTCGGAAACGCATGGTCTATTCAATGATGACCTATTATTTAATGCAATTCAACGTAAGTAATGCCTGGATTGTTGACAATGGATGATTATTCATCTATGGCGTTTGATTCCATTTCTGTTCTTAATGGTCTGTGGAGCCTTGGCTCATAGTTGGCATTGCTTATATGGTCTTTTAAAACAAATCCTTTTTTTAATTCTAACATTCAATCATCAATTTATAATAAAGTCTTCGTACATCAAGATTTTAGAAGAGAATGCTTTTTGCATGAATGATAAGGGACATTTACATTTCCTTCTGTTGAAAGTTTCTTTCGGAAGTGTACGTATAACTAGAGTTATCTGATTGTATTGATAAGCTCTGCTGACACAGATAACGCTTTTTTAAATTCATACTGTATCTGCCAATTCATGATGCAAGCAAGATTTTTGTAGCTTAAACAATGCTCTGATTTGACCTTGCTTTATAAGAAAAATGAACGATAAAATATGTACTGCCAGAATTGCAGAGTGACTTAAGTAAACTTTAAGCAACTTACTTCATTCCTGTGGTTTAATGGGGCACGATAGTTCAAAATGAATAAATTATCTAGCTTAGAAATGCTTAATATCTATAGTGCAAATTAGTGCAAAGAAAATAATCACTCAATTTAATTGCAGAGTACGTCTTGTAAAATGTACATAAATTACATATTAAAAATCCCTACCTTTTCACTGTATTGTTCCCAAAACTCTTTCGCTTTCTCCATCTCTGTTTTGAAAACGATGTCACATGACTTGCAATATGCATTGTTTTTTTCTGTGACAATGCAATGTTTATGGGAATCTTTTTCATAGCCTCTTTTATTATTGCACAAATATCCAATTTTATATTTTGTTAAAGATTTGTAAAAAGTTTTTAAAAATTGCTCAAAAATCGTATATAATTCTGTAATGATTGCGTGTCCATATTTTGCCGAATCTTTTCTCAGACTGATGATTTGAACAGTGAAAACCTTTTCCGATGTAAAGAAGCACACTTCCACTTCTTTTCCCCCTTCTGTTCTATAACTCATATATGCACCGGTTTTGTACAGATGACCTCCATATGGTGTCCAGTGTGTAGTACTCAAACACTTCACAATCAATCTACCAAATAGATCATAAGGCAGATACTGTTCAAATAGAAAACAAAGAATTGGGGACGCCTTGCTGTCAGTCCTCAGCTTTTCTTTTGGACTGAACTTTTCAGTATTCACACATGGCACATACCAACCACTTACGTTTTTGTTATCTATTTCAAAATTGTCTATGTGAAACATCATTCCTAACTTATTCTGATATTCACCTAATATTCGTTGATGTTCCATATTTAGACTTGGGTTTTTTTCCCGTATCAAGATTTGATAGAGTTCATCCTCTAGGAAACCTTTTTCTAAATACCATTTCCATTTTCGTTCAACCGTTGAAATGACTTCTCTATGATCTTCTCGCAAATGTTTGGGGTCGGAAACAATATGCTTAAAGCATTTTACAAACCACGGAACATCCAAAATTACAATTTCTCTTAATTTTTCTACACTGAAATAAAGGATTTTCCCACGGCGATGAAAAAACTCAAGCATATCGCTGATTTCAACATCTCCAATTTCAAAGTTAAGACGGTCTATGATTTTTAAAATTTCAGTCGTACTGAGTACTGGTGTATCATCTTTTAAAGCCTCCAAGATATATCCATATCTTATCCACTTTGCTGGTATCTTTAAAGGCGATTCCCTCTTTGCTGTTGTAACAGCTTCACTTATATACGTTTTGATTTTCTTGAGACGTTCTATGTCCACTTCATCCATATCTCTCAGCTCTAACTTGGTCTGAAGCCAATTTTTGTCCTTTGCAAATTCATGGTATAGTTCTGAGAAATTTGTCGTTAAACTACAATTTACATTGAAATATTTAGAGTTAATAATTGCAGTACATGTATACCTGAAATTTTAACACTGTCTTTGGATTTTTCTTTTAATTCGCAAAAATTTATTTCTTTTCTTTCTATACCTTATTTCTTCTCAAAATTACTTATAATACACTTTAAGTGAAGTAAAATGTATTGTAATCGCCGATTCTTACCCTTTATTTGATGTAGATATCAGAACTCAGCTAAAGAATGAATGCACTTAAGTACGTTATATGGAACCTTTTTGGCTACCCATTTTAAGCATAGCATTACAACATATCGCTAATTTAATCTATGATTAATGTGCAAGCATATGCTTTTGATATATATGTCTAGATCTTTTTGTCATGCATATTTCTATAATTACAGACAATGTGATTAAAAAGAGCATGAAAAAGCCTTAAATTTCGGAAATTTGAACTGGACTACTTTCGAATCTAAGGTATCCGCAAATAGGGGGAGAGATTTAAATCGCATGGTTGTGGAATGCAAACATAAGCATATATGATGTTTTTGCACAAGAATTTAAATGGGGAAGAAAGAGAGTGATCATGTTGATTTTATGGTGCACAATAAATAAATGATTCTAATGTGTAGGATGGGAACGATGTCTCGCTCTGCAGACCACAATACAGAGGCGACATAAGCCTATACGTGTACTTATAAATGACACTGTCAATACAAGAATTCTTTCAAAACACCCCTAATGAAAAGCATAAAGTTTTATAAGAGACATTTTATCGTCAAACTTGATTAAAATTTGTTCACAAATTTGGTATTCAATGTATAACGACCATATTTTGTACCTAATAAAAGGTTGTTCAAATATCTTTAATGATGGTAGCATTTTAAAGATGTTATCAAATAAAAAATGCTACACCAAAGGAATTTACTAAATTTTGATTACTGTCCAATTTATTTCACATTGAATTTTACATTGAAGTTTGTGGGCAGCGCACATTTTTTTAAAGATATTGTAAAGAGTGCTTTGAATTACAAATAAACTTTTGGTGAAAATATGCATACACACTCTCTCTCTCTCTTTCTCTCTCTCTCTCTCTCTCTCTCTCTCTCTCTCTCTCTCTCTCTCTCTCTCTCTCTCTCTCTCTCTCTCTCTCCCCCTATCAAAATATGAAATAAAATGATTTACCGCAGAATTTTTGTAAAATCTGAAATGTTCTTCTTTATTTCAAGGGCATATAACTCTTCAAAATCTTTTAATGAGCAAAATCTCAGCTTGTTAAGGCTTGAATAAGGGGGCGGGGCCTAATTTATACGCGAAATGTTTAATGTGACGTCACACAAAAAAGGTACAATGTGTATTCCTAATAATGCTAGAAAATCAAATAATTTGCAATTTTAAACTGTATTTGCATAAAAAACAACATCAAAACTTATCAATGCATTCGAAAATTATTCATGTCACTTTTATCGTTATCTAATTATCCTATTTAAGTAGTTAAAAATTATTTATGGTAGATCGCGGATTTCTGACGTCACAATAGGATTTAACATAAAAAGCTTACCGCGTTCAGATTAGCAAGCGAAAAGTTCTTCAACAGTACTGTATGCAGTAAAAGGTTAAATATATATTAAAGGTTGTTTAGTGTATTTAATTTTTTTGTATATGTACATGTAATTAAGAACTAGAACTGTCCAAACGGGACAAAATACCCCCGCTGGATTTTTCAGAAGTTTTTCCATAATAAAGATATGTATCAAACACGAATTATGAAATTTTTCTTCCAATGACCTTGAACTTCCCCCCAATGACCTTGGGTCAAGGTCATGACATACCCTTGGGTCATGGGCAATCTTTGTGTGAAATGAGAGCCTACCAAGTTTATCCATAAGAAAGATATGGACAGGACACAAATTATGAAATTTTTCTTCCAGTGACCTTGAACTTCCCCCAATGACCTTGGGTCAAGGTCATGATACACCCGTGAGTCATGGGCAATCTTTGTGTGAAATGAGAACCTACCAAGTTTATCCATAAGAAAGATATGGACCGGACACGAATTATGAAATTTTTCTTCCAGTGACCTTGAACTTCTGAAAAAAGACCTTGGGTCAAGGTCATGACACACCCTTGGGTCATGGGCAATCTTTGTGTGAAATGAAAACCTACCAAGTTTATCCATAAGAAAGATATGGACCGGACACGAATTATGAAATTTTTCTTCCAGTGACCTTGAACTTCCCCAAATGACCTTGGGTCAAGGTAATGTCACACCCGTGAGTCATGGGCAATCTTTGTGTGAAATGAGAACCTTCCAAGTTTATCCATAAAAAATATGGACCAGACACCAATTATTAAATATTTCTTCCAGTGACCTTGAACTTCCCCAAATGACCTTGGGTCATGGGCAATCTTTGTTTGAAATGATAACCTACCAAGTTTATCTATAAGAAAGATATGGACCGGACACGAATTATGAAATTTTTCTTCCAGTGACCTTGAACTTCCCAAAATGACCTTGGATCAAGGTCATGACACACCCTTAGGTCATTAGCAATCTTAGTGTGGAGTAGTAGATTCTAATGTCCCTCTGTAAGAAAGATATGGACCGGACACGATTGCACAGACAGACGGACAGACGGACAGACAGCTAGACGGACAGACAGACAGACGGACAGACGGACAAGGTGATTCCTATATACCCCCCCCCCCCCAAAACTTCTTTTGCGGGGGATATAATAAATGATGTTTTCATTAAGTTTGCCTTTTACATTTTAAATAGTTTTTGGCACTGATATCTACATGTTGTATGTACGTACCTTTCGAAAAGGTCATGCTATTGCTTAATTGTTAATACAATACAAAAACGGATCATCTACCACCGGTGTGTCTGCCCTGCAGTTTAATTTCTTTTTGTTCACTTTTATGAATTTTGTTTCATTTATTTAATTTAGTCTACACGTTAATCTGCTTTATTTTTATTTGTTTATCATCTCTAACTCATTATACAAGGTATCCATTTTCTTCCTAGATTGTCGGATTGGTAGTATTCGTTTGCATAACAATATTGTATGAGCTATAAGATTCTTAAAACGAGAAAGAATTAAGTAATGGACAGTATATGGTACACCATTAATTAACTATCATGTGTACAGGAGTTTCTCTTACTGATTATTTTTTTCTTTAATGGGCGGGGGGGTTAAATTAGATAATCATAAGTAGGAGAGAATTTAAAGATTTTGGTAACATCACCAAATAAAATATCGCCAAATTAAAAAAATATACGTCCTATAAATCGTCATTTACAACTAAGACCCTTTTATTATTGTAAATCAAAAGCGATTCGGCTTACATCTGTCATTATTGTTTTGTGTGGGAGTTTTTTTTTTTCTTTTTTTTTTTTTTTTTTTTTTTGGGGGGGGGGGGGGGGGTCAAGGCAAGAGTTGCAAGTCCGTAGGAAGCAATTTCAGACACTCATAAATACTTTCAGTTCGGGGTACTATCAGGCGTCTTAATTGAGGGGACACGAGCATATAGTAGTAATGTTACATAGATGATAAGAAAAGACCTTTACGACATTTTGAAGAAAAAACTGAAATCTGTTAATCCAGGGATAGTCAAAATTAATACATTCTATGAAGTATAATTGTATAAAATGTAGGTCATAAAGCTACTTTAATTCAACTTTAATATTTCCAATTTAATCTGGTATTCTTTATCAAAAAATAAAAATGCAAAAAATACATATGTATGAAAATGTTCTCAAATCCGGTAAGATGTTTTTTTTTCTTATATCCATGTACATTTGATAAAATTTTTCTGTACCCGTTTATTGCGAGAAAAAATCTAGAAATCACATGACATTGAAATAGTGCCACGCTGTAAGTAAACTATGGCGATGATTATATCGGAAAATTGAATTCACGGCTGATTTCATGCTTTATTTTTAGTAAATTGTTGATTAATTCAATTTTATTCGAGTCATGCAGGCATACGAAAATAATGACGTCGCAACAACGTATTATAATGATTATATATAGTACTTCTGATTAAAAAATGTAAATCTTTAAATTTTTGCAAGAAATTGAGCCAAAACACATTTTAATTTTTATTTAATAATTCGATTCTAAAATTACTTCACATTCATTGTATCGAGTTATATAAAATTCGTCTGCTTCGTTTAAATGTTATGATTGTGGTTTTGAAATGCGTATACGGACAGAAAACGGACATTTTTCTATATATTTCATTGAAGAAGCGACACTTGTTCTCATCAACATTAGTGTATTTGAATTAAGATAACAATCTAACCACGCAGACGACGAATCTCAAAATACTTTCAGAAAGAAAAATTCAAAACGAGAGGAGTTAGCTGACAAATTATAAGCGTATGTTTTTAGGCAGGCAGTGTCATTTCTTCTATGTGTACCGACGAAAATAATCTTTTCACACCCACCTCCATGGATTTTGATAGTATTTAACCAGTACTTAACGTAATCTGAAAAAAATAACGGATAATGCACTAAGAAAAGGAAATTTCATGTGATAAAGACACATATTATTAACAAATGGAGATGACGTATATAGGCAGTTATAATTGATCAGATATTGCTTTGTTAATGAATAAAATTTGACGCATGGGTGAGCATATATTATTGGACCGGATTTCAATAGAAATAGCATAAATAATAAATTCCTCAAGTATTACAAATAGTACTCTTTAGTGTCATAATTTCGTTTGATTTGCTGTTTTTTGCTAATTGTTTTTGATTCATCTGGTTTAGTATGTTTTGCTGTTAAAATTATTCTTAAAGTTTGTTTCTTCGAATTTCTAGACAAATTATTCTAAAAGATTCAAGTTCATTACCTTTTTGGCACCAATTTGAAAAAGATGTATTAGATAAGTCAAGGGATTCATTTTTTGCAACTTCTATTTCTTTATTTTCCCCACATTTTTCTTCTACACTTCTAGATGCATCAATAACTATTATGTATATGGCATCTTCTCGAATAAAAGTTTGGTGTGACGCATAATAGGCCCCCTGTCCAGCAAAATCCAGAACATCTAATACAATATTGTTTTTGTTCCCTAATTGTGCCAAAATACTTTCATCCTCTTTTAACTTCCTGTGTATGAAGGGCAGAATATCCTTTTCAACTTTATCTACAGAAGAAATATATCAATCAGTTTTCAAATATTCTCACATATATTTCAAATATATTCAATAACATTAAAATAATCTTTAGAGAGGTAGTTGCAAAAGTGGATTAGGAGTTTATGTATCTCAGTTGAATAGGCCCTAGATACGAAAAAACCTGCTATACGTATAAATAAATTCTAAAACAAGGTAGGTTATTGACAAACAAGTTGCTGAAACAAAAACATCAACAGTCTCGTTTAAAATCATCATTTCGTAAGTTCTATGGTCGATAAAACGACCTTATCAGAAAATACAATGGATCAATGAGTCAAATCCTGACTGATATTATATTAATTGTTAGTCCTTAATTGATACAAAGAATTGACGAAGAATATTCCCAGATTTTTCCAACCCTGACAAGGAGCACATGGATGGTGTGACCAGTCAACAGGGGATGTTCACTCCTCCATGGCATCTGATCCCTTCTCTGATGTTTTGGAGGTTCATGTTTTCTCTGCTGCTATTTTGTATTGATTTATGGTCTTTTGATCTTGAATTACGTTTGTCATCTCCATATGTTTTATCTTAATATGTGTTAAGTGGTATTTGTTCAAATTTTAAAGACGAGTCAAAGTGTGAAGCGTGAGATTAATCTATTGCTCTCTCAAACACACTCAGATACCTTCGGAAAACCTGGCAAGGTTTTTCATTTTTGCTGTATATTTTACTTCAGTGACTGGAGTAGCTTGTTCGGTTACTTCAGTTTTCATTTCTACATGAAAGTTTTGAGTTTTAATTATTACTAAGTTTACCCGTTTCTACACTCACTCACTCACTCGGTCGTCCTTAGACGACCAACGACATGACCACTCCAGTTCTTCCCATCAGCCATTAGGGAAGCTAGCTCATTTGTGTCCCTTGTCTTTGTGTCACGCTTTAGTGTGTCTAAAAATGTGGCCTTGGGTCTACCTCTCCTACGATGTCCGTGATTTGGCTCCCACAGTACCAAAGAGTGAGCGCTGAGCTCTGGATGACGGAAGCAATGCCCAGCTAGCTGCAATCTCCTGGAGGCTATCTTATCACTGACCTTTGGGAGGTTACCATATAGGGACTCGTTGGGATTCTGGCTTGACCAGTGAATGTCTAGAACCTTACGCAGCATGCGTGTGTAGGTTCCGTCTAGCGACTTCTCCTGGGCTACTGTCAGGGTCCAGCTCTCGCAGCCATACAGCAGAATAGACTCAATTGTGGCTATGGAGAAGCGCAACTTGAGATCACTTCGCACGGCCGAGCGCCGTTTTCATGACATCTTGTTCAGAGCCTGCCAGGCTAATGCTTTCCGGACAGCTATGTCCTTTTCTGAACTTTCGATCCAGGAACCTAGATATTTAAAATCTTCTACCCATTCGATTTCAGTGCCATCTAAGGTTTTGAGTGGAGAAGGGTTGTCAGTATTGAAGGGGAGGACTTTAGTCTTCTTGGCATTGATACATAGCCCAACTTTTTTACAATCCCTCTAGACTCTAGATAACAGTTCCTGTGCTTGGACAATTTCATCTGATAGTAAGGAAATGTCGTCAGCAAAATCAAGATCAGTAAGAACTTGTTTTAAGTGTCTTCTGGATTTTCTAGGCAGTATGGTGAAACCCAGTTCCTCTTCATTTCCAGAGATGGCTTTTCTCAGGGCATAGTCCAGTACTATGATAAATAAGAATGGTGCTAAGGTATCTCCCTGCAAAACTCCAGCAGTTATTTCAAACATACCAGTTTCTCCATCAGGTGTTACGATCTTGGCCATGGTATTGGTGTACATCTTTTCGATTGCTCGAAGAAGATTAGGTGGAATTCCATATGCCTTAAGTATGCGAATCATCTTACCTCGGTGTATGGAGTCAAATGCTTTCCGAAAGTCTATAAAAGTAAAGATTGCTTTCAAGTTGTTGGGTTTGACACCTTCGATTATTCGACGGAGGGCATGAATCTGTGCAACTGTTGTTCTTCCAGGGCGAAAACCATTCTGATTTATTCTGAGACGTAGATCGATGACACTCCTGATACGATTTAGTATGAGCCGATTGTAAATCTTGGTTATGATGCATATCAAGCTGATGCCTCTGTAGTTGTCAGTCTTCGATAGGTCGCCAGACTTGGGCACAGTTACAATGTTCATGAATGACCATGTATCTGGTTTGTCATTGTTGACGAGTGCATCATTACAGAAACCTAAACAGACACTATCAAAGTCACACAGTTTGAAGTCTTCCGGGGGATTTCATCCGGACCTGCTGCCTTGCCTAGCTTCAGGGAGGACTTCACTTTTCTGTATTCAGCTAGAGTGAAAGGTTCATCATCGATATCATCGAACACCTTTGGAATTTCCTCCTCAGGCTCGTCTACATCAGGTTGATTTCCTAAGATATTCTTGAAGTGCGTATACCATGTACTGACTCTCTCTTCAGGGCTATTTCCTGCTACCTGTCCTTCCTTAGCTTTCTTTCAACCAGTGATCTCATAAACGACTTTCCATGCCTCTCCGTATCTTTGCTCTCCATGTGCAGTTTCAATACCTTGTATCTGTTCCGCTAGTTCTTCTTCTTGTGCCAGCTTGTATGCTTGATAAAGGTTATTTACTGCTACAGACCAGAGATCTTTGTCTTCGTCAGTTTTGGATGACTCATACTGCCTCTGGGCTTCTTGTGCTTTCTGACGAGCTTCAGAGACTCTGGGGTCTAATGACCTGAGTGATTTTTTGATTTTAGCTCTTTTAGGGAGACATACTTTCATTGCTTCTTGATTGACTTTTACGAACTTTTCGTATCTTTCGCTGTTGCTCTCATCCGTCAGAATTTGAAATCTGTTCTTAACAGCGACTGTGTATTTTTGCTGAAGCTCAGTATTGCTGGAGAACTGTTTCCAGTCGTATTTGACTTTCTTGGCTGTTTTTGAGGTTCTCAGACTGAGCTTGATCTTTGCAGACACTATTCTATGGTCGGACTTCACTGTGCTGAAGGAGTTGTACACTTCTGCGTTATGGACGCTATTTCTCCATTTTTGCCGAACAAGAATGTAATCAAGTTGTCGCAGTGTGTTGGATGCTCTACATTTGAATGTCCAAAGTTTTCCAGGGCGTTTCTTAAATTGTGTGTTTACTGCTAGTAGACCAAATTCAACGAGAATTTCAGCAAGATAGTTTCCACTTCTATTTGTTAGCTCATGAAATGGATGAGGTACATGTTCGGGTCCCAGTCTAGCATTGAAATCTCCCAAGACTACAAGGAAGTTGTGGCCTGGTACATCCTGTAGTACGTTTCTTAGCTCTGTGTAGAATTCCTTGATGACAGAATCCTCTGCACAGTTGGTAGGTGCATAGATAACTATGATGGTTGTACGAGGATTTCCATCGAATTCAGCTACTAGTATTCTTCCACTCTTAGATGGGACAACTATCAGTAGAGATTTTCTAGCTTTCCTATCTAAGAGGAGTCCAACTCCACCTTGTGTTGCTTGGGATTTGTTTCTCCATCCAGATGAAGTCACTAGAGTGCTTGTGTCAAACTTGGTATACTCAATGGGGTCAGAGTGTATGATACGATGCTCTTGCACACCGAGAATTCCTTTGTGTTGCAACTGGCTGCAATGCTGTAATTCCCACTTCTTATCCTCATCAAGTAGTGTGTTGATGTTGTAGGTTGCAATGTTAGTTGTTTCATTACAACGTAAAAATGCCTTCATACGTCCACTGTTCTCAGATGCCACCCCCCGAGGATTCCGGTTTGTGGCGACATCTTCATTCCGTCGCTGTTGCGAGCGACTAGCTTCAGTATTGATGACAGGGTTCCTGCTCACTCCCGGAGCTGGAAGTATAGGATTTGGCTTACGAGACGTGTTCATGGTTGGTTTACGAAGCGATGATAATTCACTTGGGTCGCTACTCCTCAAATGAATACTTTGGGCCGAATTGAGATGAGATCCTCTCTTCGCCCCCATTCTTCGATACAAGCAGGATCAGAAGTTTCCTCCTATGTATATAGGTAACGCAGGAAACACTACGCCTATTTTAAGTGATAGGGTACTAGGTATTTGTCTTGGCACCAGAGCGTATCCACACGCCGGTGGGTCGTGCATGCCAAAGACTTTAAGGGATACCTATCCCCGAGCACATGACCTCATTACTGAGTATGCTACTAACAGCCGCGAAGCTGCGTTCCCCGGGAGGGCGGGCGAGAACCGTTGTCATGCACTTGTGAAGATAACCTATAATCAGAACATACTCCGACCGGTGCTCCGAGACAGCTGTGGAGGGAGCCTGATAGAACTGAAAGCTTATAGGCCACCAACACCAAGCTACTAAAAGCATAATGTACCAAGCAACTAGCTAAAGCCAACTACAAAGCACTACTTCTAGCAGCTCCCTTTTCTACAGAAAATAGCAATAATACATTTTTAAAACAATTAATATTCCGTGGAATGTCCAAAATGAATAAGATACTAATGCTTTCAAAATTTTTAACTTGAAAATGAAATTGATTGTTATATATTATATCTTGCATGATTTGACATGTTTTTGCAGTGACATTCTTAATACAACTGAAGAAAAACAAAGAAAATCCGAGAAAGTATAACAAAACAGATAACTGTTTCGAAATACTTGAATTCTTATAAAATTGATGAAGAATAGTGAAGGGAAGAAATTCATGTAAAAAATATTAGATATTTGCTATCTGCGTCTTTTAAAATATATGTGAAAATCAGAAAAATAGATAAATAGTGTTAAAATATGATAACAGATGGTATAATGTATAAAAGGACTTTTATATATAAATTACCTTTCATTTCTTCATCTGGTTCAGTCAATTCAATACTTTCATCTGGGAGAAAAAAGAGTAGGTAGAAGTACAGAGCAGCACATGATATCTCGTAGTTTGTTTTCAGCAAATAAATCACCTATTTTCAAAGCTGACTTTATGATAGATACGTATATCCAACTAAAACAATTAAATCTAATTTTAACCGCTTTAAATTAACGTTTCTTTACAATAAAATTCAATAAAGACCAAAGCATTTCTTTGTTTTAGATCGTCATCGATTTTAATTGAGGAACTGCAACTGAACTAGAATATACTTAGCAAACCTCGAGGCTTGTTGAGCGAATATACACCATTCCAACGAGTTGAATAAAGTCAATATCTAATCACACAATTATGGATTTTTTTTTATTTTATCTCATACTATTTTTGTTTTTTTTTTTCTTTGAAGTAACACCTTTAAAACTTTTATGAACGATTTTCATTTGTATTAAAAATGATGAAACATAATATATGACGTCGCGCTGTTGTTGTGGAATGGTGAAAAGAAGACTATCATACTATCATCAGGTGGAAAATATTAGATCTTTGCTATCTGCGTCTATTAAAACATATGTGACACTCAGCTGGAGGCTTATTTCGAACTAACATTTGACTGAAAGTTGTATAGACCGAGGGATAAAAATTATAATTCTAGGCCTCTATTCAATGTCATTCTTTGAACGGTAAAGGATGGTTTCTTGTCAGCATTTTACGTCGTCAATGGGTTTCCATAAATTGTGCAAATCGTAAAATGCAAATTACACATTTAATGGCACTGAAGGAAAATCTATTGTTTAATTTATCAGTTTAGGTATTGATGAATCTATTAAAATTCAAATAAATAAATTGTTCATAATTTTTTCTTTGATTTGCGACAACCTCCATAAAATGTGCAGTTCCGTAGTTAATGTCAACATGTCCAGGTCGTTTCCCGTTGAATACCCCAAGAGGAATGTTTTGTAAAATCTTCAAACCATGAACATTATCGAAGAATTTCAGAGTCCCGGGGACAATTTTGACAATTTTAAAGTAATATCTGATTAGGTTCTAGGCACCCCGGTCATCCAAAGGAAACTTGAAGGTCACAAACTTGCGAGATGGCAGACCTGCATTGCCTCGTCGGATGTCATGTTGTGTGCAGTAAGATTTTTAAAATTTAAATTAAGTTACAGTATTAATTTATTATAAATCTGTTATCAACCGATCAATGTACGTATGCTTGTTTCCGCTACTGTTTAACAGAAGATATGTGCTTGTCATTTTAATGAATAATAATATGTCACAACAATATTTTTTGTATATTATTACAAGTTTCATTACTTACTAGCCTTTTTTGTTAAAGACACAACGATTATCAAAGTTATTAGAAAAATAAGGTATTCCGCTTCGGTACAAATCAAAAGGGAAAAGATAGGATACTGTATGTAGAATATCTAATCAATAATGTTGAAACAATTGTCTGATAAGAACAGGAAAATGAAACGTTATTGTCCAGAAAATATTTATTTTATTGTTTTTCTGTATTTTACTGTTAAAAAATGTTTAGTTATTTACTTTATGTATAATACAACTTTTATAACAGGACAGTTTACACTGCTATACATGTCGTAGCTAGAGTCCATTTATTTTGATGGAAAACTCTTTCAATAATTTATGCATGTAAATCAATAATTGAAATACAGATGAGATTGGTTGTTTAATCTTATAAGCAATGTCCATTTTCAGAAAATAGTCTAAGGGATGTTCATGAGGAAACAACCTTACTTTACCCAGGAGCAGACTAGAAAAAAGACTTAAGAACAGAATGCTGGATGATTGTGCAAGAGGTGCTGGCACATGGACGATTGAGGTACATGTATAATAAATATAAACAGAACAGTTTTTCAGGGTTACAGTTGAAATTGACACCCTGGGGAACACCATTTTCTCAAGGAGTGTCAATTTCAACTGTTACCTTAAAAAAATGCACTGTTTATTTTATCATACATGTACTTAGTGTCTTATAGTTTACTCCACACGGTTGAAACCGTTCACGGTAGCCTAGTGGTAGAGCGTTCACTTCGTGATCGGGAGGCCAGGGTTCGATTCTCGTTCCCGGCGCCGCGTCAAACCTAAGACGTAAAAATAGGTAGCGACTGTTCCTTCGCCAAGCGCTCGGCATCAGAAGTGAACGTCACGGGTCTTTCGGATATGACCTTAAAAACGTAGGTCCCGTGTCACGGTAGGCGCTGGTACGATAAAGAACCCTCACTGCTCTATGGCCCTGAGTGCCGAGTAAAGGTCTAAATTTGAAGCCCTTCACTGGCATACGGTGACGTCTCCATATGAGTGAAAAATTCTCAAGAGGGACGTTAAACAATATACAATCAATCAATCAATCACACGGTTGAAAAGTTATATCCCTTGGCCACCCTTTTTATGAAAAAAAATATTTGAATCCTTACAGTACCTTTATAGTTATCTGGTTTGAAAGTTGTGACTTGAAAAATTGTGAACATCTTATTAACATACAGTACAGGCCTCGAGTTTTCCGCAAAAACACGGGGCCCCGTGGACCGCAAGTCCACGCTTTAGCGTGGACCTCGAACCTTGTCGGCATCTTTGAAGTCAGCGTTTCTGTGCACCGTGTAACACGGAGTGTCACAGTTCTGATAATAAATATTTTAAACATTTTCATTGCCCTTATTTAATAAAATTAAATCAATTTTCTTTTGAAATATTTGTTGTACTTTTCCATGATTTAATTTTAGTAATTTATCCAAACAGATTTTTTTATTAATAAGATGCCTTAAAATTTAATAACAACGTACTCGTGTCCAGCAAAAAAATGTACAATCACGTTTCAAGTTAAATCCTAATTATATTAGTCATAAAAAGTTCAATAGACTATTATTATATAAGATAAGAGGAAACACACTTTTCTACTTTCGATTTTGATTCTAACCGTGTTCATTAAATTGTTGATACAAGAAAATTTTTTTCCTACGTATGCATTCATACGTAGTACATATCAGATGCGTGATTATACTAAAGGAATTAATTATTTTGAAAGAATTTACATATACATGTATATGTACTGTGTCTAGAATAATTTTAAAAAATACGTATCAGACTCGCACACTAATTCTGCTCTTTGATACCGATACCGATACTCGACGAATTATTGGACAGGTTCAGATAAGGATTATTGCAATAAAACTAACACTAAAAATCTGTAATTATGTAAAATATGGAGATAAAAATTAAATGCAGTAAACTCAAAAATCTACTGAACAGGCAGAGATGATAATCTGATAAATTTCATTGATTAAAATAGTGATCAACTTACATGCTGAATACAACAAGAGGCCCACGGGCCTTATAGGTCACTTGAGTATTGTGTAACAACTTTCAAACAATTAAATTTGGTTCGTGTTTAAACCGGAGGCCATGAAATTTTTTAATTTACAATTTTGAAAGAGGCACCATTGCTTATCATAATTATTAACTTAGCATGCTTACTCTTTTTAC